TATGAAGCCCAAAGTCCGGGCTCAAGTCCAGCTAGAAATTTGGAAAAAGTTTTTTTTTTTCTTTTTTTATTCAATAAAAAACTGTTTCATTTATACTAAAAGATGTTAAAACCTAAAAAATAATGAATGACCTCACTATTACTTGGAAAAAGAGGAAGAATAATAAAGAAACAAATATTATATATAAGTATTTTTATTTATATAATACATTATCAAGTTGAATTCAGGTTCTGATTGGGTTTTTTTGAGAAAGCCTAAACTCGGCCCAAAAAAAGGTCAAGCCCAATGTTTTAGGCCTAAGCCCAAACCCATTGGCCTGAAATCTAGGGGCGGAGCTAGGGGGGACCCAGGGGAGCCATGGGCCCCCCTATGGTCCAGAAATTTATACACTCAATGCAGTTTTTCTATGTAAGTTTGTTCCCTCTCCTCACTTTTCATCCAATGGTTGGTCCCCTTTATGGTCCATCGATAAGTTTTGGCCCCCCTCATAAAAAATTCTTGACTCCGCCCCTTCAGAAACCCTATCCAAACCCGACTTAGATCAAACCAGGCCGAATCCGCCATGAACAAATCTAATCTTGAATCATGAACTCGGGATTGATCCGATTCAGACGTTCGAGCCGAGCTGGGTTGTATGATAAGAGATGATACAAGTAATATAGGAATGACACATGTACACAAAAGGTCCCCCTCATTTCCGCTTGTCTAGAAAAGTGGAAACCCTATTTGGCATGACTCGTGACGCATGTTGCGAAAATGAATTATACGAAAAAAAAAATGGCTAGTAGTAGTAAAAAAGAAAGTATGCGTTGATTGATATTTTGATATGACAAGGCGGCCAACATTAACACGACTTTCAAGCATCCAAACCTCGTTGCTTCTCCTTCTCTCTCTCCATCTCTCCTCTTCACCTCACCAATAATCCACCCACTCTCTCTCTCTAAGGGGCAAGGACTAGACAGTCAAGTTAACCAAGGGCTCAAAACAAGCAAAGGTCACCACAAGTGTATAAGCAATATCTCAACTATGCGTCTCTACCTTTAGCTTGTAGTGCCCCTTTTTATAGTAGGAATCGCCCGAGTGGAGAATAATGCATGATATGTAATCGTTCCTAGTCACGTAGGGGGATTTAGAAAGGCGTCAACCCACCACAAGCCCATGTTAGTGGCTCAAGAGTAAATGCACCCACATCAATTGTTCCACAATCACTAAGGGAAACAATTACCCAAATGCCCTTAGGAAACTGTCATTGTCATAATCGATGCCACGTGTCAGGATTTGATGGATTGACCAAAATATATTTACATCAATATACATACATGAATGATAAATACATATCAACATGAATGATAATTACATGCATAAATACATATTTATATAATATTTATAGAAATATAAATTTAAATTGATATGTTGGATTGGATTGGTCTAACCCAATCCCAAGTTAAAAATCAGGTTCATACTTTACAACCTTTACCTTAAGCTAAACTTCAAACCAACCTTACCCTAGTTTTTCAGGGTAGCCACACTTTCTCTCTCTCTGCTATTTACTGATTAATTGTGAATTATAGTATATCTTAATAATTAAATATATTATAATATTCTGGTAATTTAGTGGGGTTATCGTGTAATGACGAAAAGACCCATAAACTGGACCTTCTAAGAAATTTGAATCAAACACCGTTTCCCTTTTTAGCGTACAAACAACGAAATGTACTCACGCAACGGCAACGCACTTCTGTCCTCCAAATCTTTACTCCCAACAAGCAACAACAGGCAAAATCGGCCATTCAGCCCGAGACCGAATCTGCTCCTCACAAAGCGCGTTTCACATCGATCTAATAGCATGTTTTGGTCGTATATCAGGAACATCTCCCTTATTTATATTTATTATTTATAAGAGATATTTTCGATACACGATGGAATGTGATTGTGAGATCGGTGTAACCCTGTAAGGCGTCCTTTGTGAAGGGCAGATTTCAATTTCACTCAACCCACCAACCACGACAAAATTATCTTTTCTTTCTTTCCTTTTTCTCCCTGCCATCCTAGATCTCATAAATGACCTGTCAAATCTATCGTCATTTGAAATTCTTCTCCTCCGAAGCAACCAAAAATAGTACTTAATTAGAGGAAAAAGAACTTTTCATAATGTCATTTGATTGATGAACACATCCTCATTCCTCACTAATCCACAAGCAACCACCGACTACTGATTTTTGATGTGAGACTCGCTTCGATTTAACCCTTCCTTAATCAACAAACAACTCCTTGATTTCCTTTCATTTTTTTTTTATTTAGGGTCATTTACTATTATACTTTCTATAATTTAAAGTTTTATGTATTTACTCAAATCTACCTTATAAATTTTATTTTATTAAAACACCTTTATAAATTTGTAACCTATCTACTTAATCAACATTTAACTAAGAATTAGTTTTACCCAAGGTTATTTATTCTAAAAATACCCCATAACACTTCTTTGTTCAAAAGATAAAATTTACCATATAGAACCAAATAGCAATGTTTTTAATCCATTGTTGACTTGGTTGATTCAATCATTTGAACTGTCACTTGGCTAAGATTTTGGATCCGGTTCAATCAAGACCCATCAAACGGTCAAAAACCATTAACTTAGTCAAGAACTATTTGACCCGACCGATTCAGCCGTTTACTTGTTTGACCTAGTGACCGGATCGTGGGTTGCACACTCAATGCATACAAAACTTTTGGAGGCCATAACTTTGCACTCCGATGTTTGATTGGGGTGATTTTTTTTTTTTGTAACTTTTCGAGATCTATGTGTCCCACGGCGCCATAGGCACCTTGCCCCACTATTTTTGCAAAAAGCTCCTTTTTAGGTATCAAATTGCAAATTTTAATATTTTTATAAATAAATAATAAAAAATTGAATTAAAAAAATATATATTAAATATAAAATAATACATATAATTATCTGAAACATATTTATACATTATTTATTGCTAAAATATATATTTATACACATATATACATATATATGTATACTTAACATATATAGGTGATGATATGGCATGGTCTGAACTATCTGACCTGGCCGGTCGAACCGGTGACCTATGACCTAGAGGCAAAAACAGTTCGACCTCCAAGTTGGTTTTTAAAACATTAGTTGCTTGTATCTTATTAGGGTAGGGGCAAAATTGATATTTTCATTTATATTTATTTTTTATTAAATTTATTTAAATAAATGTTAATGACAAAATTGTTTCCACTATAATCTAATGAAAGGTTGATTAAGTAAAATTTGCAAACTATAAGAATGCTTTAGTAAAACACAAACTATAAACAGGTTTTAGAAAATAAACTATGAGTAGTGCTTGTGCTTCAATAAATGACCCTTTTATCTATTTATTAGTCATTTAGTCAAATGACTCAGAACTCAAAACCCCTTTTTTAATTAATTAATTAACAAAAAATAAATTAATAAAAAAAGAAAAAAAATATCCCCTTTGAATGGGCTTGAGTTCTTCCTACTGACGGCAGTGGCTGAGTGGGCCGTGGGTGGTGGAATTTTGCTAGGAGTAGAATGTATACAGCCAAGTACAAAACCTTCTTCCCCCTTCGAGACGATGAGACTTGAGAGAATCCCGGAAACCCATGCGTGGGGGTATTATTATTTAATTATTTCCCCCTATGTCCTTCCCACCTGTTTTTCCCTAATTATTTTCTTATTCTGGATTTCAGGCATTTATGTGCTTCCCAGCTCATCTCTTTTTTTAATTCCCTACATCATAATTCTCATAAATTAGTTTATTATTATTTAAAAAAATCGGAAACTGGGGTTTCCATTTTCTAAACCGGTGACAGGTCACCTACATCTCCTGGGGTTAATCCCTGTCTTCTTTCGCCCACGTGAATCGGACAACATCCCCCCAATCCGCACCGTTGGTTGACAGGCGCGTGTCAGTGTACTCGGTCCTGCACTTTGCCTTTTAAAAATGGTTTCTCCACCTTGGATTGGAACCTTCCGAAAGATCCGATCCGTTCATTCTTTATTGCCTGTAATTCCAATCCCACGGCCTAGATAAACTGATAAAGTGTCTTTGCAGTTTGCACATTCGTGTGAGAGTGGAGAAGAGATATCTTATGCTTTTCCTCGGTTGTTATCGATAAAGACGTATAACAGAAGGCGAGGTGCCGATCAAACGGTCTAGGTGTTTTCTTAGCCATCCCTTGATCCTGGCCGTGCGTTTAATATAAAAACGACATCTCCATACTGCCCATACATGCTATTGTCCTTTTGCTAAATGACTATGCTATCCCGCTATTCCATCCTCATCGACATGGCTGATTTGGTCACTTCGCTCACCAGACATCAATAATTCGGTCAATCAGACTGGTAACGCCATTAGTGAATAACTGAATATCATACCTGTACTTGCCCAAACACACCTTTTCTACCATTTATAGATTATTATTTCCGTATATACACCGTATTATTGTACACCATACGACGGTACTGTACCGACTACCTACCGTCGTATTCGTACAGTTGTCTCTTTTGGCGGATCTGGGGGGCACTCCCCTTATCTCATCTCATCCACTGATGCCTAACTTCGCATATATCGTTTTCGCATCAGATCGTTCCTCCGGTTTTCACAGGTGGACCCACCATTGAAATCCACGATGGGGAGATTCGAACCATTTTGGGCCCCACAGGTGACTTTCCGACACGATATTCGACAAATCAATTTATCGCGATACGTTATGTATACGATGTAACGGTTTCGTTTCGTAGACATTCCGTATGTTTCCGGTTTTTAGCGGCTGCGCTTCGACCCAAACGGATAACTGATAAGAACGTCCGTAAGTTAATCTAACGGCTAGGATAGACCTTTTGGAATGAGTCTGGTTCTGGGCCGTCGATTAACTTCACCACCACTTAACTCAAGATTTGCGCAACCATGGTTACGATTTAACCCCACCGTGCCCAAAATAAAACCTTATCCCCTTAACGCCTCTCACTGTTCTCTCTCTCTCTCTCTCTCTCTCTCTGCAACTCATTCAGTTGTTTGATCTGAAGCTTGTTAATGGCGTCTTTGTTGTCCTCGTATTTTTCTTTTTGACAGCCGGATACACAAATCTATGCTTTGAGCTAACTAGTTTTAGTCTCCATTACTGAAGCAATTAAAGCTCGGTGAGTCGAAGCCTCAATGGCGTATTCGTTTCCAGAAGAGGTCTTGGAGCATGTTTTCTCGTTCATTCACTCCGATAAGGACAGGAACGCCGTTTCCCTGGTGTGCAAGTCTTGGTACGAGATTGAAAGGTGGTGCCGGCGCCGGATCTTCGTTGGGAACTGCTACGCAGTGAGCCCTAGGATTGTGATCAGGCGGTTTCCGGAGGTCCGATCTGTGTCGCTCAAGGGGAAACCGCATTTTGCTGATTTCAATCTCGTGCCGGAGGGGTGGGGAGGGTATGTGTACCCCTGGATCTCGGCCATGGCCGAAGCTTACCCGTGGTTAGAGGAGCTGAGATTGAAGCGTATGGTGGTGACCGACGAGGCGTTGGAACTGATCTCGCGTTCGTTTAAGAATTTCAGTGCTTTGGTCCTCTCGTCTTGTGAGGGTTTCACTACCGATGGACTCGCTGCCATTGCTGCCAATTGCAGGTTCTTTTACCTACACTACTCATTTCTGTTGCTTTGTGCTGGCCGGCAGTTTGAAACCGATTTTTAGTAGGTTTAGCTAAAACCCCAAGTTCTCATGAAGTATGATAGTTTAGTTGCTGATTGACGGTCAATGCATGAAAAGATTTGAACATTTCCCCCTTTCTTCGTTTCAAAATTTTGTCGTTTGGTGGTGAGTGGCGCAGTTTTCTTCAGACCAGGAGTATTTTTCGTTGCTCTTCAGCCATTTTCGGCTTAATAACGTTTCTTCTTTCTGTTGAGGTCCTGAACTAACCCTAACTTCTGATGGTAATCATTTGTGTTTCTTTCGGTTAATCTGTGAAATCCTTTTTTTCTTCCCTTTTTGTTTTCAAGAGGTCTAGGGTGGAATTGGGTTCTGAAATGACCAATGTGGAAAACCTAGTGGCGGTCATTTGGTTCATTATTTTCCGCTCATTGTGTTTTGTTATGGACCGATATTATATGGGTCTGTTTCGGATTCCTGGATTCCTCTCCCTTTTCTTCTGTTTGTTTACATTTTAATATGAAGAATGGTTTTCTTTACCTGGGTCCTTTTAGGGTTTTGTTGCATTGCACTTTTTGGGATTCAGGATCCTGCTTATTTGAACTTTTAGTAGAGGGGAAAGAAAAGTTCTTTCAATAAAAGCATGGGTTATGTGGCTGGCTGGCTGCAGTTGGTTGCAGAATTGTATTTCTCTATTTTTTTTTCTTTTTTGCTGCTCTGATTTAGATTTTTTTTGGCTCTATGATTTGATGTAGGAATCTGAAAGAACTTGACTTGCGGGAATGCGATGTGGATGATCGGAGCGGCAATTGGCTCAGCCATTTCCCTGAGTCATGTACATCACTGGTCTCTCTCAGCTTTTCATGTCTGGAAGGGGAGGTGAGCTTCTCTGCCCTGGAGCGCTTGGTGAGCAGGTGCACCAACCTGAGGGCCCTCCGGCTCAACCATTCTGTGCCCCTTGACAAGCTTCCTAACCTCCTTCGCCGGGCCCCTCAGCTTGTCGATCTGGGCATGGGTGCTTACACGGCAGAGCTCCGCCCTGAGCTCTACTCCAGGCTTGGAAATGCCTTTGCAGGTTGCAAGGGTCTCAAAAGCCTATCTGGGTTCTGGGACGTGGTTCCCTCATACCTTCCAGCTACCTACTCTGTATGTGCTGGAATTACATTTTTGAACTTGAGTTATGCCACCATTCAAAGCCCTGATCTTATCAAACTCATCAGACAGTGCCGGAATCTTCAACGGTTGTGGGTAGGTCTCTTCTAATTGTGTACTCTGTGGTGGCCAACTGGCCACTATTCTTTTTATTTGCATAGTCCGCAGAAATCTAAGGCAAAGTAACTGCAACAGGTACTGGATTACATTGAAGACAGTGGACTCAATGCCCTTGCGGCATCTTGCAAGGATCTTGAGGAACTGAGGGTGTTCCCATCAGACCCATTTGGCCAGGAAGCTAATGTGTCCTTGACGGAGCAGGGTCTTGTCTCTGTTTCTGAGGGCTGCCCCAAGCTTCAATCAGTTCTTTATTTCTGCCGACAGATGACAAATGCTGCTCTTTTTACCATTGCAAGGAACCGTCCCAACATGACCCGCTTCCGTCTCTGCATCATTGAGCCCCGGACACCGGATTACCTTACACTGCAACCACTAGATGCTGGTTTTGGTGCCATTGTCGAGCACTGCAAGGATCTCCGGCGCCTTTCGCTCTCTGGTCTCCTCACAGACCTCGTGTTCGAGTACATTGGGACCCATGCACAAAAGCTGGAGATGCTATCAGTGGCCTTTGCTGGGGAGAGTGACTTGGGCCTTCATCACGTGTTGTCTGGGTGCAAGAGCCTTCGGAAGTTGGAGATCCGAGACTGCCCGTTTGGTGACAAAGCCCTCTTTGTAAATGCATCAAAGCTGGAGACAATGCGATCCCTTTGGATGTCTTCATGCTCAGTGAGTTTTGGAGCATGTAAGCTTCTTGGTCAGAAGATGCCTAGGCTCAACGTTGAGGTTATTGATGAAAGGGCCCCCCCAGACTTGAGGCCAGAAAGTGAGCCCATAGAGAGGCTTTATGTTTACAGGACAATCGCAGGGCCTAGACTCGACATGCCTGGCTTTGTTTGGACTATGGGTGATGAGAAATCTGCAACCGAATTTTCCTAAACTCCACCTGGGGTCAAAGCTTTGTAATGTAAGCCTTTAAGTTAACGCTTCTGTGTGGAAGGTTGCAGGTATTGACTCTGTTTTACTTGTCATGGTGTCATAGTTTGATCTTATAAGGCCTAAGATAACTGCAGTGATGCCAGGCTTATATGAAGAGACCTCGGAGCTCAATGGCCAATTTGTTTTATTGCTTGGCTGAGCAGAAGAGATTGAGGAAGCATAGACAATGAGGGGATAATAAGTTATGGTAGTTGGGTTTGTTATAAAATCTTATGCAGCAGCATAATCTTGTATACGTGCGAACATTCACAAAGTGATGATGATGCATTTGTATCAGTTGTTCTGTGGAGAGGAGATTTTCAATTATGATGTTTATTTGACTCAAGAACTTTGTCTTTGGAGATCAAAAAGCACGAATTGCAGTTTTCATTTTTTTAATTCTTTTCATACCAGAGCAAACCCACTTCAATAACGTTCAAACTGATTGACTATGTATAGTGATCGCCTTGTCCGATGCTGAGAATGGTATCGCCAGGTGTTTGTGGATTCGTCCGAAAGGAAAAAATGGATAAATTGTTTGCCATTGTATTTCCCTTTGACTGAGTAAACCTGTTGGGTGAGAATTATTGAGGGTGGTGGGTCCGTTCCCTCTGATGCACGACGTGTCGGTAATTGTGGTTGAATTTTTATTGTCTAGGGTACCTTGTTTGAAACTCTGTCGCTTGGAGGTGCTTATTAGGGATTCTGGGTGATGATCTCTCACACAATCTAGTGTCGGAATCTAGTGGATGTGCTGCTGCCGGAATCTAGTGGACTCTTGTCTCTTTGACTGTGAATAGTGGCCTTTAAAGCTTCATAGACTTCTATCAGTCAAATGGAAAAGACATTTTCCTGATCTCTTCTATCAGTCAAATTGAATGGTCGAACATGAGGAGGAATCCAGACTCAGACAGACGTTCCTTGTTTTTCTTTTACGCGACGAGAAGAACAAATACATGGTCTATGAACAGTAGTTTCTGTGGTTATAAAAAATCTAATAAATCTTGCTTGGGCGATGCCATGGGGAGGATGTCACAAGTGATTTCTGTGTTGTGTGTACAGATGGCTGTGATGATATTAGGAATGATTTGGACCGAACCGTTCTGACATTCAGGGTGGTTGTTCAATGTTCAAGGGAATTGGATTTAATAATTATGGAGTTAAAACACTTTGATCTTTCATATGCTTTATCACCATTTTAATATCATGGGAGATGGGGGGATAGAAGTAGAATCAATCATTAGGGTTAGAGTTGCTTGTTTCTGAGGAGCAACTGAAAAAAAAAATTATAAAAAAAGGTACAAAAACAAAGTAAGAAACCTGCTATGCTGCCGTATCCTCCCCGTGTGATGAGTAATGTGACCGGGCAATCTGATACATGAATCATCCTTACTACTCAATTAACTTCCCCACCGAGAGAGAGAGAGAGATTCCAACTTGCAGGGATGAGATCAGCAGGTTTGATATTATAATCTAAGCAGCTTTCAACAATTTTGAAGGTGATAGATGAGATCATTATTCATTGGAGTTGTGTTTTGCTCTCTTTCTCTCTCCCTCTTCTTTGTTGGGGTGGGGGGTGGGAGTGGGCATCAGAGAGATCTTGAAATGGGTCTGGAACTTATCATTTGCTGAGGAGAAAGCCCCCACATCTCAGACTCTGAATGTCAGAAGCCACGTATCAAGGTGTATGAAGTATTAAAACTCAAAAACCCTTCATTCACAAAAATCTTACACCAATGTACTCCTCAGTCTTCAGTCCTCAGTAGTCAGACTCTCATTACTAGCAAATATTTGTTTATGGTTGTTTCAACTTTCAACTTGGAAGCCCTAACCTCACCTGACCTTTACCTTGAATATAATAATGTAAGGCGGCCTTGGTAATAAATGAAGGCTTGGGCCTCCATGAAAAAGAAAAAACCCTGAAAAGAAGAAAGAAAAGGAACCCTGGAACAGTGAAATGGAAAAGAAAGAAAAGGTAACTTGTGTGAATAACTTTTACAGTGTGGGAGAGACTGGAGAGAAAGAGAGGTGCTGAGTTGCTGACTGCTCAGCCTCGACTGTTGTTCCACGTGATATATTCCTGGGAAATTCATGGCCTCCACAACTTTTGCTACAGGGAACCCTTTTTTCTTTCTCTCTTTATCCCACCTGAGAGAGAACTCACAGACTTCTGAGTATTATTGATTATTGAATACCAAACAGACAAAAACAGAGAAGGATACATAGATACATTGATAGAGAGGTAAGAGAGAGTAATTAGACTAGTGAAAGTAATAGAACAGAGAACCCACAGACAGTGAACTGTACAATACGTAAATAACCAACCAAGATCCAACTCTTTTTTATTCAAAATGCCCGCCATGTTTGGACGTGGAGTTAATGCTAACCTCACAGCAATAAACATATACGACGGACCATGAGGAGATATCAGTCTCTCTGTGTGATGGAATTGAACTGAGCATGTGATGAGAGACGTGGCGAGTAATGGGGGGAGTAGACCCATCAATGATTGCTTTGGGCCCACCGAGTTGTCAATTTTGATCTGGCCCCACAGGCCCTAGAGAGAGGGTCCCCACTGAGCCGTTAGATCTCATCCTCAGAACATGAGAATTGAGAAAGGTGTTGGGTCGGTCATGGATTCCCCAACCCCCCTCATTCCTCAACCAGTAATGGAGGAATTAATAAGGCCCAATTCTGCTTTCCCTGTGTTTTTTTCCCAACCTTCTTCACTAATTAGGACGTTTCATGAGGCAGGACCATTCCCAATTGGTGAGACACTATGACTGTAAGCAAGTGGTGAAGTGAGCAGAGCAGAAAATCATGCATAGCCATACAATCATCCTGAACCATATAACTTGGGTTAGATGACGAGAGGAAAAGGCCAATGTACCAGCTGAAGAACCCAGAACCGTGAGAGAGAGGGAGAGAGAGATGATCAAGTCCAGTAGCAATCAGCAATCAGTAGGACCAAGACCACCCATATGCAGGTGAAGTAGAGACAAGAAAACACAATTTGTCAGTGCTCATGTCACGCACCGTTTCCTTCAATATTGACTTTCCTCTGTGCTTCATCTCAGTGTTGCAGAAGTTAGGACTCAGGATTGGCCTCTAGTCTAAACAGAGGAATCCAACAGTTTTAGGAACAAAAATTGCCTTGCTTCATTTCAAAGTTTAAGAGATTTTCTGTCTCTAAATTTAGATATGAATTGGGTTTTGGGTGGTCAGAATCCAGGGATTAAAACTTTAATATGGGTGGAGGAGACTGCAGAGATGAGAAGATGATGATGATGGGGTATTCCTTTTTCTGGGTACTACTACTTTTGTTTTGTCAATTCAACCAGCACATGCCAAGTCTCTATCCAACTCACGTCACCACCTCTATATGTGGAGCTGTCCGGAGTGTTGTTGAGTTAACGCTGCAGATTTTTTCTTTTTCCCTCTTCGGCTTTTGAATTGTAAATCACCATCTTTTTTGAGAGGAGAGACTCATCGCTCATGCATGCAGTTGCAGGGCTTCTCGTTCCAAGGATCCAAAACCCAGGACTGTTGGTGCTTTTTAAATGAAATTTTCAACCCAGGAATTAAAAAAAAAAAAAAACCTAGAAATAAAGGCACCATCATCATGCTCTTCTCGGTAACAAAGTCAAGGTACGGTACGGTAACACTGATCCAGTTTTCAACTTTTCATCCAATTTTGATTTTCCGCCAACCAAGCACTCGGTCAAAATTCAAGAAGATTGACAGTGAGGGAAGGCCAAAATTTCCACCTCTGGGTAATTGCACTGCTGAATTGGAAATTCTCTGAGCAGAAAGAATCTGGCTTTTTATAATAATTATATAAATATTGACAAAGAATAAGGAACTTTTTTATTGAATTATGAATATATATATATATATATATATATATATATATATATATATATAAATGCAGACATTTGTATTCTGTTAATTTGGTTTTGGATTTTCTACCCAATGCCAATGTTCTTTTTCTTTAATAAAAACTTCCTTTACTTTGATTACCTATTTTTGGAACATTAGTTATATGCCCTCGAGGAATAATATACAAAACATGACCAGAATTTGATGTTGACGCTTTTTGGTAGAGATCAAGGTTTACAGCCATACAAGTAGGGAGGAAGAAGGATAAAACTTTAGGACCTTTTGTTTCCCTGATGTATTGTTGTTTTCAGAAATGCATATTTAGTAGAAGGCCCCATGAGTGGGGTTGAATTTCCTTGGCATTCTCCCAAGATGCATGTACAGAAAGAAATATAACTAAAGGTTCGTATTGAGTAGCTTATTAGTTATTAACTTATTACTTGTTAGCTGTAAGACCCCATCTATTTTTGCTATGACCATGAGGGATTCTATAGCTGATCCAAAGCAGACTGGATAAGCCGCATGTAGGATTGCTCACGGTTTGGTTAATCGAACCATGAGCTTATTTTTGAAACCGACCCAACGCCTTCAGCTTCTTATATTTGTGAACCAAAACCAAATTAAATCAACCGGTTAATTGAATGACATGTTTGTTTCTTTTGGTTTTTTATATTTATAAAATATTATAAAAAACATAGATAAAGATGTAGGTTAACCACAGATGTTTTGGCTCGGCCAATCCATTCATACTTTTTAGTTTAAATTTTAACATAGGAGTTATTTACAAAAAGTGGCAATTTTCAACTCAGTAATGGGCCACGCAACAGGGGGTAACCCCCCCCCCCCCCCCACCCCCCCAACCCTGGTGGTGGGACTCGATCCCAGGTAATGAATTTGTCAACATGATTCTGAACAAAACACTAATGGAAAGATATTGTCCCAAAGATAATAGAGGCTTTTTAAACTGTCAAGAGGCGAACCAATATCAAAACCAAATAATGTATTTATGATGTTTATGTTGCAACCTTGGGAGATAACTAAAATAAAATACTCAACTCAAGAAAGCCTTGATCCCAAATACTTGGGGAGGTGGTTACACATTCAATCTCACCATTAATATCAACTATATTATTAAAGAAATGTTAATTAAAAAAGAGAAAAAAAATGTACAAAAACAGCAATCAACCCTTTGACAAACCTGATCTTCCTACGAAGAGGACAAAGCATGCTCTGTACAGATAGTCCAACTTCTAATTGAGACAGCCTCAAGATATGAAATAATGTACAACATGGGGGACTACTGGAGGAAGGACCAAAAAGAAGCCATGTTTTCCTCATTAAATTAAATTCCATTTCTGTACACTCACCATGAAAACATGAATATCTGAAACTCCTTATGTAATTGCTGCCAATCCCACGACATCACCTTCTTCAGTGTTGATTTCAGGAGCCATGCCTGAACTGCGAGTCCTTGCTGAAAGTAAAAGTGAGGAAACAGGCTTACAATCCGACCATACTGACTGGGATCCATAAATTACATGCATCTAATTATCAAATATGCAAGCACTGGCCTTCATGGGCTATTTCTCTTACATTGATCAATCAACACATGCAACAACATTTCATAAAATACTCGCCAGTCCTAAGGAAGATGTAGGAATCTCACCGTCAGAGAAAAAATAGGTAACTAAAATATTGTACATAGAAAAACAATAGTGCAACCCTGGTTTGCACAACAAAATTAACAATTACCAAGCAACCAAGAATATTCTTGCATGTGGACCAGAAGCTAATCTTGTTGAGTTGGAGATACTGATCTCCACATGAAACCACTGTAGATAAAAAGGCATGTGGACATCAAAGAAGCCCTGTGGGTATGGCACCTGAGGTTACAAAGTCCATCAGTTATCCATCATATATCCAGTAGAGATGCAACCCAAGATGCAGCTTTTTTGGTACTCGTGTTCACAGGGGCTACAAGGCCCAAGAGGCAGCTTTAGGCCCTGAAATTGTTGATCCAGGCACCCACAGAAAATATATCATTGACAAAGTATGAAGATTATGACACAAAGGCTGGGCATCAATTCTATGATGTTCCTATACCACAACTATTAGGTTGTAGGTTTCATCCCAATTTACCCAACCTAAGAATAACAAGATAGGTAAAGATGGTCTTCATCTGATATAGCTATATTTGTGTTAATATAGTTGACCATGACTTACAGGAAAAAGAAATGCCGATCTCTGATTCCAGGAAAGTTTATAAACTGTCCATCTTGGGTCCAAGTGCATTACAAGAGTCACCAGAATGATAATGAGAAAATTGAAAATAAATAAAAGATTCAACTATGTGAACTAGAGTCTACAGAAAATACATTACACACGAGAAAAAGAAATATACTGGCAATTTGGAGAGAAAATAGGGATTTTTTCCTTTATTGACAACATGTGGATATTCTACTGACGTTGGCAGATTAATAGATCAGTTGTTTAAAACTTAATACAGCTACCCATCAGTTTTCATCCTATTTATACATTCCTTTTTCTGTTACAAAAGAAAGATTAAAAGCCAAGAACTGTCAGACAGGCTACCATGAGCTATTCTTTCCCTTGTCCACTCTGAAGCAAGGTTCAAAGTATCAATATGTATTGTGTGTTGTTGAGATATTCAGCAGTTTTTTGTTTCATTTTGTTTAGCATTATTAGTTAGTGTTATTGGGCCCAAGGCCCATTAGTTTATGTTTACTTTTAAAAACTGTTTTTATGTTATCAGCAGCAGCAGCAGCCCTATTAAGGGCATATTAGTCATTGTAATCTCTTTTATTGTGAGTATATAAGATAATGAGTGGGGCGGTCAGGTTATTATCAGCTTCTCCCATATCTTCTCTCCAAGAAACTCCTTTCTTTCTTTCTTCTTTCTTTCATTGTTATCAAATCATGTTGCAGATCTGAGTTTTCTACTTGGTATCAGAACCACATTACAAGATTTTTGAGTTTTCCACCATGCAGCCCTAGATCAGCCAACTGCATGTTGAGTTAGAGAGCTGATGAAAGATTTCAAAAGGGCCCAGTTCTTGGATTTTTTTCGTGGATCTAGAACCCTTGATTGCAGTAGGACCCTTTATTTTTGACCTAGGAAGGGGTGCTCAGGATTTTTTAGGATCCTTGGTGTTTTCTGAAAGAGGCAGTTCAAATTCTGGTGTTTTCTGAGGTCTCTGGAGGGAGCAGCAGCCTTCCTCCTGTTTCTACCAGCACCTTGGAAGTTGGGAATCTCTCCAAGTAAAGGTTTTTAGGTGTTAGAACGTTGGTTAAGGCTTCCAAAGGGGATCTATCTATTCTTTCAGGTCTACAATTGATTTTTAAACTATTCTAAGAACTATGGAGGGCAGTAGAGTGGAACACAAGCCTACCAATGAAATGGGACTAGGTGTAGGGGGGGCTGGTGATCCTTTTGGGGTAGGGACCGTCACTACAGTTAAGTTGGATGGTACAAAGTGGTCACAATCAACCAAAATGGCAATTGGTGCTCGTGAAAAATTGGGGTATGTAACTGGTGAAGAGAAGAAATCTGATCAACTCCGTTCAGCGGGTGTAGGAGAACTACATGGTGATGACTTGGCTGTGCAATTCCATGTTACCCCATATAAACAAGAACTTTCTATGGGCTAACACAACCAAGGAAATTTAGGATGGAGTTTCAGCCCTAAAAACCTTGTGGTAGGAGATGGACAATTTGGAGAGTGTGGTTTGGAAGAGTAGTAAAGATGCAACTACTTACTAGATGCTAGTACAGAAGAACAGTGTTTGAGTTTCTAATAGGACTCAATCCAGAATATGATTTTGCACGACAGCATGTTCTTTCTCATGACAGTGTAACTATCTCTCAGGCATATGCCTTTGTATCTAGAAAATAGAGGAGGAATGTTATGATGAGGAACTAGGAACCTAAGCATTAAGCAGTCTACTATGCTGAGCACAGTAAAACTTAAGCCTGATGAGGATAAGGGTGGTGCTGATAATAGAAAGGAAGACAAGAAGGACTTGATTTGTGATTACTGCAAGAAGGCCTAAGCACACCACAGATACCTTTTGGAAGCTTCATCCGCACCTTATACCAATTCAGCTTAGAGATAAAAAGGAGAATGCTACTATGGTAATGACTAGTGACTTACCTAGATTACCTACAACACCTTTGGAATCAATTGTAGCAACTACATTTAGGGTTGAGTTGGAGAGATATGGGCAATTTCTAAGTCAAAGAGATACAACTAGTTCCAGTTCCTCACCAGGTGGACAACAAGGTGCAAGTGGCCCAAGAGCTAAGTCACACTACTTCATTTGCTCATATGGGTATATGCCATTGCAAGTTATGCTTCCACTACAGGTAAAGGGGGACCTCATTGGATTATAGATTCAGGAGCTTAGAACATATGACCAACACTCCCACCATCCTCTCTTCATACTACCTCTGCTCCGGTAGAAATAGAATCTCCATAGCTTATGGCTCCATGTTCCAATTGCTTGGAAGGGGTCCATAAAAATAATTAATACCATTACCTTGCCTTCTGTATTGCATGTGCCTAGACTGAATACTAATATTTTATCTGTGAGTAGTTTGACAAAAAAAATTGAATTGATCAGTATTTTTTTCTCTTGGTCATTGTGTTTTGCAGGATCTGGAGTCAAAGATGATAAGTGGGAGTGGTCATGAGTTGAATGATGTCTACCTTCTCGATGTTCTTCTTAGTCATCAAGGTCATCATGTCAATAAAAAGAGTAATTAGTCAAAGTCAGTGTCAGATTATGCTTTCACATAAAGCATAATCAGTTAGGGCATCTTTCTTTTGGTTCTTTGTGTTTTTTGTTTCCAAAGCTATTTGAGTCTGTTAAGTTATCCCGTTTGGAGTATGAAGGTTGTCAACTTGGAAAACATTGTAGACATTCTTTTAAGTCAAGCAATTAAAGATGTTCTTCAATTTTTGATATTGTTCATACTGATGTTTGTGGACCATATCATGTTCCTTCTATGGGTGGCTATTGCTAATTTCTCCTATTTATGAATGATTATTCGCAATATTCATAGACATACTTGATGAGATTTCACAATGAGGTACCTGCCTTGGTACAATAGTTTCATCAAATGGTTTTGACGTAGTTTGGAGTGCGGTTCAAGGTGTTCAAATCAGATAATGCTATGGAATATTTATAAAAACTCGTCACCCTATTTATTAGATCATGGAGTAATTCATCAAAGCATATGTTCATATACTCCACAACAAAATAGTGTAACAAAAAGGAAGAAGAGACACATTATAGAAGTGGCAAGAAGTATTATGGTGAGCTCCACAATTCCACTTCAATTTTGGGGTGATGCAATTCTCACAGTAGTTTTCTTGGATATGTTGTTCCTTATAGCCTTCTTTATCCTAAGGGGGAAGTTGAAAGGTTTGGACAACCTATTTTGATATAAAAACTGTAAAAGAAAGAAGAAAAGAAAGAGGAGAAAAGGTTTCAGCTAAGAAAGAGAGAGATGAGAGATAGAAGAGAATGGGAGAAGCTCAGAATTAGGTCTGGCCACCCCTTTTATTAGATTATATACTCATAAATAAAAGAGAATACAAAGACAAATATGCCCTTAGTAAGTTGGCTACTTGTGAGAACTTAAAAAACACTCTTAACTTAAAACATAAACTAATGGGCCTAAAGCCCAATAACTTCCTAACTGTGCTATGTAAATAAAAAGCATGTTATATCAGCCCAAATCTCAACACTCCCCCTCAAGTTGGGAATAAATGTCACACATTCCCAACTTGCATAGATCATGTTCCAGTTTGTTTCTTGCAACTCCTTTTGTAAAAACATCAGCAAGCTGCAAGTCAAATGCAACATATGGCAAGCAAACTTCTCTGGGTGTCACCCTTTCCCTTATAAAGTGTCTATCAACTTCTATATGTTTCGTCCTATCATGCTGAACTGGGTTGTTGGTAATGTTAATTGTTGCCTAATTGTCACAATATAGCATTACAGGTTCTTCGACCTCAATTCCAATCTCCCCTAACAAGGAACAAATCCAAAGGAGCTCTAAAACACCATGTGTCATGGCTCTGTATTCAGCTTATGCACTTGACCTTGCCACAACTGTCTATTTCTTACTCTTCCATGAAACTAAATTACCTCCAACAAGAGTACAAACTCCTGGTGTAGATCTCCTATCATCTAGGCACCCTGCCCAATCAGCATCTATGTAAACCTCTAACTTCAATTGTCCATGGTCAGCAAACATTATGCCTTTACCTAGGTGTCCCTTCAAATAGGAAAGTATCCTATCAATAACCTCCTAATGCTGAACTCGTGGGGCATGCATGTATTAACTCACCACACTCACTGCACAAGAGATGTCTAGTCGTGTCATACACAAGTATAGCAACCGCCCCACTAACCTCTGATATCTTCCAACATCCTTCACTAGTTCAC